GGGGGGGGGGGGGGGGGAATCAGTAAATCCATTGTTTAGTTTGACACGTAATCGCCAGGGCTGCGAAATAAAATTAGCATTAAAAAAAACATTAATTAAAATGTTTTAATACACTTCCCGAAAGGAGTGGGACAATTACTCAAAGTTCTCAGATGTTTACATAACGACAAGCTTTGCTTAATTATCGTTTAAACAACTACAAGTAAGGTTTTAATACTAACTGGCTTTAGGCAATGCAGCGATTAAGGAAAATTAAAGCCGAGAACATTGAGTAAACCCCCCCCTCCCCCATACATTCGTTTACCGCTAAACATATCGAACACAGGATGTTGGATTACTAGTCACCCAGTGCTTTCCAAGATAACATTTCTTACAACATATACCTTCTTCCTGTTTATTGTTCGCAAAAACGAAAGTTACACTGCCTCACGCCTCTTGGGGGAACCCAGGATGTAGCTGACATTTGAGAAAAAAAGAACACAAACCTAGAAATGTTAAAAAAAAACATACTCTAAAGTTAGGGCGCCTTCTCATTGTTACACCAACACCCTTAAAAGAACGTTGTAAACACAAATGTTTTTTTTTTTTGTTTTTTCACTCGTTAATTCGTTTATTCATTTTTTTTAAGAAAAGATAAAACTGAGTTGCTTTCTAAAAACTAAGAATAAGCGCAACGTTTTAAACGCTACGTACAAAATAGTTTCGACTTCGCCTTTTCGCGCAATTACATACAAACTACACATCAGAACGGCGGTTCTAAAGTTTTAGTAACCCCCAAGGACCTCTTTAAATTGATTTTTTTTTCGCGGACCCCCCAAGTCTATCGATACTACCATTTTATTTTGAAATACTGATTCCGTATACATTAAAATAATTATTCCAACATTAAACATTTTAATCGATATAGATTTAATTAGGCGATCTATAACTTAATATCTTATGAATTTCGAGCATGATTCGTGGACCCAAGTTTGGATCAAAATATGGAAGGCGAAATCTGATCAAGATCAACTAAGTTTAGTTATATAATCATCACCGTTCAAAATCAATGATTAGCAAAAATATTTGATAAAGTTAACGATACTTTAAAAAAAAAAATCTTGCTGAAACTTAAGGTATTAATAAATATAAAACATTTACCAACAACAACAAAAAAAACTTTACAAACATGTAAATCGCACGACTTCCCTAGCGGTTTTGACGTCATGCCTTGTAAAAAAAAAACCAAACAAAAATCATTACATATCCGAGCTTAATTTAAGCCTAATCTAATAATCAAAAACAACAGTAAATTTTATTACCTAAATAGTCATTGTTTAAATTAGTTTATTAATCAAAGGAGTTGATTAAGTATTCTTCTCGTATCTTTAATTATTGTTATACAATAGAGTCCAAGTCCAAACTCAACGGTAAGGTTTAAAAAGAACGTATAAACTTAAGTCTGACGTTCTTTCAAATCAAGTTTTTTTTTGGCATCGTGCGATGCACTCAAATATCTCCCCTAGTTCGTTAACAAAAATACATAAAGCTAAGACTTACAATAATTGTTTGTTTTTTAGTGTTTCACCAATTCAACCTTTTTTGAATTAACAGATACACCACCCCCCCAAGTTGGTGCCAAGATACCTTTTATGTATCGCTAATGTATTGTAACGCTAGCAATAAGTACAAAAAAGTGACACCGGAATGTATAACAGTTCGTTAAAGTTCGTTGAACAGAATGTTTTTTTTTTGTTTTGTTTTTTTTAAGAACGAACCAGAAGTTTTATCAAATTAATCCCATTCATACTGCGTATTCCTTTCCTTTGTCCACGTTATTCCTCGAGAATTCCTTGCTGTCTTCCAGCTCCCTCGCAAAGTTCGCCATTACCTCCTTGAAGTGGACGGCGTCCATATTTTTACACAGAAGATAGATGAGGAACCAGTCACCCGCGTAACAATAATTACACACTGTCTCGATATCCGTTTCACTTGCTATACTCGCTCTAGTCTTCAAGAGAAGATATCGTCCGTTTTGCCAGACGAGGGTAACCAATCGATAAACCATCTTGACGCCACTTACAACACACAACATAACCAACCAGAACCATAAAAAGATATAAATTTTCTCGTTAATGATATTCAAAGGCAACATGCAAAGAACATCGTGCTCCTTCACATCACCAGAAGAACCAAACTGGTTAAACGTGCACTTGGTCATTCTTGGGAAAATCCTGACCATTGGATCTACTCGATCTCTCTGTTCGGTCTTAGCAAATTGGATTACGTCTGTCCCATAAGTTGTGAACTCGCCGCCAAGAAACTTATCAATTAAATACATCTGACCGATCACATTAACAAAGTACATTATTTCGGTGATAACGAAGTAACCCATGTACCTACCATGGTTATTCAAATGAGTCTTGAGATATTCAACCACCAAAGACACGGCCTCCGATTTGGCTTCGAAACTTAAAACGGGTGAGTTAAGAGTGGACACCAACTTCTTTACCAAAGAACCTTCCCATATCTTCCACAAGTATCTCGGCAAATAAAACATCCCTGCCTGAAGAAAGAGAACAAAACACACCCATTGGTAGTACGAGTGGTAAGTCTTTTTATCTCCGAGTTCTGTCTTTTTGACTCCAGGGGCTGCAACTTCAACTCCAACTTTAAGATTCATCGCAGAAGGGAGGGTGAAGGTAGTGTGGATCCAACAGAACGTATCGAGAAGATTTTGAGGAATGTTATCTGTGGACATACAATCAATTGGATCACCAAAGTACTGGGTACTCGTTACCAAGAGACTGAACGCAGTTAGGATTAACACCGTCGCTTTGTAGTGTAATCTACATACACTATCGTCAATGGAATAGGTAGCAAATTTTAATGCACCTTTCAGTGCTCCAAATAAATCAAGTACCATCGTTTCACTTTACTAGACCGATTTTTTTTACTATTAGCCACTATTTGTTGAATATTAAAATTACTACTATTTACGTTTATCCAAAATTGTAAACTATGCTATCATCCGAAAATACGCACACCACTCGACATCAGATTCTCTAAGCCCTTCACTTCACAAATCTTTTAAATAGTTGAACTTAACTATTCAATCATAAAGTTCCTTATGATTGGTTCTTCCCTTACCAAATGACTTGCTTTTCGAAAAAAATGGCCAATTAGAAGGAGTCAGAAAAATAGTTTACGTCATTAGTTGTCGTAATGCCACGGAAGTCCGTCCAAAAAGAGAGACAAGGGGGGGTAAAGTACCCATACGTCGACACGTATCTTTCTCTACTTATGCAGAAACTCTTATGACTACGTGGTTAAAATTTCTCAAGATTTTAACTGGAAAAAGGAGTGTGATAAACTAATTATTTTAGTGTTACCATCCTTTATCTTTTACAGTATTCGTATCTCTGTTCTTTGTTAAAATTGGGGAAGTCACAACTCAAAATGTTCTAGAGATGAAAATAGAGTTATTCGTACTACATCTATAGTGTACGTTACATTCACTGTATTTCAAACTCAATTTTACAAAACTTTATTAAACTGAAATAATTTCAAGTCGTTCGTAAAGACCATAGTTAAGGCTTAAAAATGTATTTTAATGCTTTGGAAGGGTGAAATAATGAGTTTTAGGATAAGCCTAGTTTTGAATGTGTTTAGAAATAGTCAGAATGTTGTTTTTAATTAAACCTTAATAAATAGTGTTTTATTAAAATAATCGTAATTAAATCTTATTTAGCCTGTTACAAAATCATTTCAGTGAAACACCGCTTTTTATAATTAAAAAAAGAAGAAGAAAAAAAATAGTGAATAGTTTTCAAACTTATAAATAATTCATACAATAGAGAGCGCTAGTGGATCACTATTTTTCGTCTGTCGTTATAATAAAAATGTGTGTTTTTGTTTGTCAAACGCAAAGCTACATAACGGACTTTCAGTTGTGTTCCCACGGCAGGTATCGAAACTCGATTTAAAGTGAATAATAACTTTTAAGATAAACATAACCAGAATTATTTGAGCGTTTACTGGTTTTTTTTTATTTTAATGCACCAAGAAAGAAAATATATTAAATAAAAAGTTAAACTTCAAAACTTTAAAAGTGTGTAGACCGAAACTGAAACAAAAGAGCCAACGCATAATTAAAAATTTCCCTGTATAATTCAAGTTAGTAATTTGAAATATAGTACTATTTATACTTTTAACTGTTAATTTTATAAAGAAATATCAATTCTCTGTTAAATATATTTTATTACGTCCCTACATGGGCATGACATAGCCTAGTGGTTAGGCCTGAAGTAGGGCTAACGTCCGTAATGTTTCAAATTAAACAAGTGTTTGTTATAGACGTGTGTTTTAACTTTTTCAGGTAGTTATTTCAATATGTTTCCACATCTTCCGGCCCTTTTCTACAAAGAATTATCTGAATTAGTAAAATTATTTTTATTGTAAAGAGATTAAGATAATTGTATAAAACAAAAGTCGTAGTTATGATTAACTGTCACGCTTATAATGCACTTACAGCAGTGATGGAAATATTTTGTGGTAACACATAAGTTCGAACCCGGCTTGTCAACTCTAAAGTCCATAGTTCTTTCCATTAAGGTTAACTGCTACCGTCCCTAATTTTGCGCCCCCCAGTGGCACAGCGGTATATCTGCGGACTTACGACTCTAGAATACGGGTTTCGATACCCGTGGTGGGCAGAGCACAGATAGCCCATTATGTAGCTTTGTGCTTAATTACAAACAAACCCTAATTTTGCACTAGTGGCGAGAGAGAGAGCAATTAGACAGCAGCACCCTAACATTAAGGGATTGACTGTCACTCTCATAACGCGCCCAAGCTTAAAGTGTGTGTGTGTGGTGGGGGGGGTTCTCGGGTTATATGAATTCAAACCAGGATATTCAGCTCCACAACCCATAGTTCTACCACTGGTCCAAGCCACAAGCGAAAACTTCATCAAGTAAAATAAGAAAAACGGACACAATTGAAAATCCAAAACAAATTCACTTACAAAAGTAAAGAGAACAGAAAGAACGTGTAATTCAGTTTTCTCACAACTCGTTCGTGTACTTCCTTGAAGTACATGTAATATCCGTTCCAGCACACTTCCTGTTAAGCAACTCGGATTTTTTCTTCTTCTTCTTAAATCGGGGTGTAGAGAATGTTATAGATATAAATATCAAATGATGAACTATCTTCTACCGGAGTGTAGAACATTTTATAGATATAAATATCAATGGATTAATTACTCAACATGATGCTATCGGCTCTAGATCAAGATTAGGATGTTGTAAAACATTTTATAGATATAAATATCAATGGATTAATTACTCAACATGATGTTACCGGCTCTAGATCAAGATTAGGATGTTGTAAAACATTTTATAGATATACATATTAAAGGATCAATTACTCAACATGATGTTATCGGCTCTAGATCAGGATTAGCATATTGTAAAACATTTTATATATATAAATATCAATGGATTAATTTGATCTAGAGCCGGTAGCATCACGTTGAGTGATTAATCCATTGATATTTATATCTACAAAATGTTTTACAACTCGCTAATCCTGATCTAGAGCCGATAGCATCATGTTGAGTAATTAATCCATTGATATTTATATCTATAAAATGTTTTACAACATGCTAATCTTGATCTAGAGCCGGTAGCATCATGTTGAGTGATCTAAAGCCGGTAGCATCATGTTGAGTAATTAATCCATTGATATTTATATCTATAAAATGTTTTACAACTTGCTAATCCTGATCTAGAGCCGGTAACATCATGTTGAGTAATTAATCCATTGATATTGATATCTATAAAATGTTTTACAACATCCTAATCTTGATCTAGAGCCGGTAACATCATGTTGAGTAATTAATCCATTGATATTTATATCTATAAAATGTTTTACAACTTGCTAATCCTGATCTGGAGCCGATAGCATCATATTGAGTAATTAATCCATTGATATTTATATCTATAAAATGTTTTACAATATGCTAATCCTGATCTAGAGCCGGTAGCATCATGTTGAGTAATTAATCCATTGATATTTATATCTATAAAATGTTTTACAACATGCTAATCTTGATCTAGAGCCGATAGCATCATGTTGAGTAATTAATCATTTGATACTTATATCTATAAAATGTTCTACAACATCCTAATCTTAAGATTAGCATGTTGTAAAACATGAACAAGTGAAACGGGTTAAGGTGAGTATAAAGACTGTCATAGCTCCAAATACAGTTCAGGTTGTTCGGTTTTTGTTTAAGCAATATTCGTAATAGATTAATGAACTTGTTCGTAACTGTTTAGTGAATAACAAGTTCATTATCTACAAAGCAAAAACAATAACTTATACTAGTGCTATAAACTAAAACGTAACTTATAATTATAGAAACAATGTTCCTCTATATACTTTAAACGAACATTGAAACCTACGTGACTGAGCCTAAGTTTAAACGATTCTTTAACTTACAGAGTTGGCACTAGATGGCGATATCGTAGCTTAAGTATTGCTTCTTGACGTGACCAATATTTTGTTGTGACGACTTTTGGTCTGACGGTTAGGACACTGCATCACGTGGTGTTTGTGAATGGCTTTAAAACTCAACTTAATCCTAAAATGTATTTCGATTTCTTAAGGTGTCGGTCAAGGGACAATCTGAAGGTTTTCTACAGTATTTAGAGTGGGCATGGTCATTTGGAGAGTGAGGGTCGACAGGGTTATGGGAGTTTGGAGTGCTAATATTTGATGATTTTTCTGATTAGGTCGTGTTTCATACTCAGTGTTGCGCTGTTATTTAGCAGTGTTTTGTGTTTTTCTGTTTTGTTTTATATTTATTTTGTGTGTGTATTTTATGTAAATATCCTTGTTTAACATTTGTAACTATAAACGTACTTACAGTTATTTTCATATGTCCTGAGTATTTGATGTACTTTTGCTTATACCCCCCTCAATGAGGGTGGATCAATAAAGAAGAAGAAAAAAAAACACTCGACTCGCAATCTGAGGTTCGCGAGTTCGAATCCCGACATGCTCGTCCTATCAGCCGTGTGGGCGTTATAAAGTGACGGTCAATCCCACTATTCGTTAGTAAAGAGTAACCCAAGAGTTGGCGGTGGGTGGTGTTGACTAGCTACCTTCCCTCTAGTCTTAAACTGCAAAATTAGGGATGGCTAGGGCAGATATCACTCAAATAGCTTTGTACAAAATTCAAAAACAAACAAACAGACAGACCGAGGGGGCTCGTTCAAGTGTCCGGTATCTCGCCATGACATCTCCTTTATGGGCTTACGTATTGTGATTTAATAAACTTTCGTGTTATTGGTTCCCTCGATCTTTACTTTATAACATTTCCCCTGTGAAAATTAGATTTCATTTTACTTTATTATGTTTATTTTATAGAACTTTATGAGTTCTTTGTAGTATTTTGTGAGAAATAATTTCATATTAAATTTATATATTTTTCCTTGCGAATACATAATTGTCGGAATTTGTTTTATTATTATTTTATCGCAACGTCTTTAAAAATGCAGTGAAGGATCATTTCCAACAGCTAGCCCCCCCCCCCCCAGTGGCACAGCGGTATGTCTGCGGACTTACCACGCTAGAATCCGGGTTTCGATACCCGTGGTGGTCAAAGCACAGATAGCCCATTATGTAGCTTTGTGCATAATTACAAACAAACAAACACTCTGTTCCTTAACTATTATTTCATCTTCTAATTAGGCCTATTTTAATAATGACTGTATTTTCTGCAGTTACATATTAAATAAAGTCAAGTTGTAATTAAATATTTGTGATAAGAGTAGAACACATGAGTTCTTAGCCTATTGTAGTATATAAAACCAAAAAGTTCTCTAAGTATGTATTCATTTCGTAACCTTTTAACAAGCTGACCAGAGTTCGATTCTTTGTCATGTGTGCAATTGTTCAAACAAACAAGCACAGTTTTACAAATAAAAGGAGTCCTAAATATTAGTCATACTTATTGGTAAATAATTGTTTTAGGAAACTGTTGACGTTAATATAATATAAAACTTGAAGTTAAAAGAAGTAATAGACCATTCCAAGCTTTTACTTGTTGTTAAACAAATGTTTAAACAACTCTATTCAATTACGTACCAGCTGCCTAGTGTCGGCTAACAATACGAAGAAATAAATTATGGCGGATTGCTACAAGTTCTTCAAATACCTATAGGATGATAGGTTTATTTTTTGTGAGTGTAAAACACTTAAATACACCATTTTGATTTTCGATACCTCACTACTATAAAGGCTTGGTTTCGTCTGATATTTCATTGGTGGTAGTGTCGAGGGTCACGGATGAGGAATGGAATTCTCCGAAATCAGTTTGGCTCACAGACACACCTCCAATGAAAGAATAGACAATTCCAAGCTTTTACTTATTGTTAAACAAATGTTTAAACAACTCTATTCAATAAAGAAATGTGTGTGGGGGGGATCTGCATTTCTTGATGAATAGTGTGAGATGTGAGATTTAACTATTTTAACCAGAGGGAAGGCAGCCAACCAGTATCACACCTCGCTCTTTAAGCCAAATGATGGGATTTACTGCCACTTTTATAACGCACGTTACCATACCTAAGAGTCTAATAATTGTGGACGACTGATAATGACTGCGAAAGTCATTGTATGTTTCAGGTGTTATGGGATGTGGTTTGAAACGATCCCTTTCAAGTTTAAGCGTGGGTAATGTACGTTACATATATAAGCGTCACATACTGCAGAATGGGGAGTCTCTAAATTTTTAATCATTTTAAAGTATAGTTATGTTTAATTTATCTGATAACTGGTGATTACTCGTAATGGCTTTGAATGACTATGGTAAATGTGTATGTCGATAAGGCGACATTGTGATTTAATTAATGTGTTTCGCATTTCACAATCATGTTGTGATTCATTGATTTTAAAGATTTCACGCCATTATATACTTTGCTAACGCTTTGGCCTGCCACCTAGTGACTTACATCTTAATAGAGGGCGCTGCAACATGAAATGCAAAATATCGATGTATATAATACACTAACTAACTTCAATCGGTACAGCACTCGGGAATTTCCGACGTACCTAGAAAATACACTTGGATACAGTTAGAAGCCATGTTTGGACTAATTTCGATCACAAATGTAAAACTCAAGGCTAACACTAACTAACTAACAATAATATAGTACTAGAGTGCCCGTTGAAACTTCCGTTTTTTTTGTATTAAGCACAAAGCTACACAATGGGCTATCTGTACTTTGCCCACCAGAGGTATCGAAACCCAGTTTCTAGCGTTTAATTCAGAAGACATACCGCTGTTCCACTGGGGGCCAGTTGAAACTGGAAGAACGAAGTTAAAGCTACTTTATGAATTAAAATAAGTACAGAAACATAATTATCTTCACTAAATTAAATAAACAATACTAAATTGTTATAATAACAAAAAACTACCAGTAATATTACCTAAAATATTTTGCTTAACAAGCGTAATTTCCGAGAACGATAGACTTCCAGCTAATGTGCTTGCCTATGTCTTACGTAAGCACGTTACTGCCAAAATATTTTTTACGCTAGATATGGTGAATACTTTAGTAAAGAATTTGAAATTATTCATTATTCCAAGTTTTAATAACAAAATAATATTATATTAGTATGCTCAACATGAGTATAACATAATAGCTTCACTGAAATCAAAAACCTATCATTTACAAAGTTTACCAGATCTATTTTTCAGAGTGATAATATGAGTTCTTCACCGAAGGCGAATCACTAAAACCCATCAAATCGACGTGTATTCTACGACTGTATCCGAGTGTTTATTCTAGGTATGACGGAAAAACCCGAGCGATGTTCCGATCTTAGCTAACATGTTTGTATGACTCAGTTATCCAAAATAATTTCAGTAACGTTTATTGCATGCAGAGAAAATTATAGTTAAATACCAATTCATTACTGATATATCAGCTACTCTTGTTACGAGTTAAAATATGTATTTCATGTTTCATATGTTATTTTTTAACACTCGACTGAAAATGTTTGTTTTTTGTTTGTTTG